CTCTCACCCATCCACACCTGTGAACCCTGCCCCTCCACTTACCTTGGACAGCGCCAGGGGCTGTGGGCAGCAGGAGCACCAAACAGACGCTCTGGCCGAAACCAGAGCATCTCTTTTGGAGGACTGGCTCCGGGCACGGTCTGGAACCATGCCTTGCTCCGCTCTATTGTGGAGCAGTTTTTTTAGACCCCTGGATTTCCAGGGGTCTAATTTTCTCCCCGTGTTGCAAACTTGCAACATGGGGAACATTTTTTCATTTCTGCACATGCCTCTTGCCTCACTTCAAAGGGGTTTGAGGCGGGGTGAGAGGCACATGCACACTTGTCTGGACGTGCCCTGTACATGGAAGCCAGAAGTTACTAAGGAAGGGAGAAGGGTGAATTGGCCTCTGTCTACTAGTAGGCACCCAATACATTAGATGCATGACTTCCCAATTGCTGGAAGGGAGATGGGGCTTTCTCTAGTTTCATTTTGCATCAGTTTAAGTAAAATCACTTTAAAACAAACCAGTTGTGAACACACGTAAATTGGCTAAAAAGGAAACAACCAAACAAACAAAGAAAAAAAAAAGCGATGCTCCCCCCATACTAGCAACACCATTGTAGCAGCTGAAACAAATCTTTGTAATTTGATGGGTCTTACCCATGTGTTTCTTTTATGAGTTGTTGGAAGAAGACGGAATGACCAGTTAATTGTATGTCATTCCTTGTTTCAGTTTGTGAAGGCTTGGAAAGAGACTGAGATAGTATTTCTGCCTGGTTTTATAACTTAATTTTTTATTTAATCCAATAACCAGTAATCACTTAAACCTTGTGTTATGTCTGTCCTTAGAAAGGTAAAAGTTTGTTACAGGAGTTATATATAAGCAACTACTTTTGAAACAAACTTTCACCTTTATGAAAACATCTGATGTAATTCCCAGATGCCTTGCATACTAATTAGAAAATCAGATCCTTGGGTAATACACAAGCTTTTGGGAGCCGTCTCATTTTCTGATACCCATTTTCCCTCTTTCATAAATAGAAGAAAGGCCAGTTACCTCAAGTAGGTCATTTATTTTGTGTTCCTGCCAGTACAGGATTGATCTCTAAGTTGTAAGTTGATCTGTAAGACATTGGACAGTGCTGTTATAGATATGCCAAGCCATGCTGTTTTGATGCTTTCTCTGGAGAGAATATTCCACAGTCCAAAAGCTTTTACTGTTAAGGACTTCTTGTGATATTCAGACCAAATTTTCTTTTTCAGTTGCATTTCATAGATCTTTATTTGTCCTTGTGCCATCCTAGAGACTTCTCTTACTTTTCATTTTTATAGCCTGCCTTTCAAATATTTGTACCCTTATATTATATTCATACTTTGTGCCTAATGGCCATTTAACCAAGCTGTGCATATTCAGCCTTTTTTCTTATAAATCAAACCACTTAACCCTTTAATATATTAATATATATAATAATTTGTGGCTCCTCTCTTAGTGATAACTTGTCCATAGTTTTCTGGTACTGACATGCCTAGAACTGAACAAAGCCTTCCAGGTATAGTAATAAATCCAAAAGGAAGAAATCCATTTCTTGCTCAGCAGTGTGATCCTTAGACATGCTGCCATATTTTGGCACAAACTCATGCTTAAAAAATTAGGGCTGGATTCAAATGGACACTTAAGCATCAGCCTGAGAAGATAATCCAGATCCCTAGGGTTAGGTGCTAGGCTTCCTATGCAATGAATGGGGAGACATAGGAACCTTCAAGGGTCATCCAAGTTGACTCTGCACTTGGCAGCTGGCCAGTAGGAAAAACTGGGCTGATTTGCTCTTCCACAGAGCTTAGGTACCTGACCCAGGGCTGCATGGGACGGTTTTCCAACACTGGGACTCTGCAAATTTACTTCATATGCAATTTATTGCTTTTTAATTAATAATTTGAGAGCCAAATTATCTACACCATAATAACTCATTAGACACTTAACCCCTGTTGTGAATGCTATCTTTACTCTTTTTATGTTCAGAAAAATCTACTTTTGCTACAGTATCTGGATTGAAGCCAATGTGAAACAATGCTAAGATTTCATTAGATAATCTAATAAAGATGCAACATTTACTATATTCCAGTGCTAATGGATCCTGAGGCAGGATTGGGCCTTTCAGACAATAAACCAATTGTTCTAGCATACATAGAATAAATAGTTTCATAGTTTCTAGGGTCGGAAGGGACCTGAGTAGATCATCTAGTCCGACCCCCTGCCATGGCAGGAAAGAGTACTGGGGTCAAACGACCCCAGCAAGGTGTTCATCTAACCTCCTCTTAAAAACCCCCAGGGTAGGAGCCAGCACCACTTCTCTTGGAAGTTGGTTCCAGACCCTAGCCGCCCTGAC